GATCGCTTCGGCCTTGGGTCCCTCCGGCTCCTGGCCTTGATTGAAGACGACGAAGACGAGCCGACCAGGAGCGACGACAACGGCGGAGGAGGCTATGGCCGCGGCGAAGCCATGGAACTGCTGCAGGAGCTCTCTGGTGGAAGAGGCGATGGCTATGGTGGGCGACTCACCTGCGGCGGCGGCGGAGGAAGGAGAGGGAAGAAGGAAAACCCTAGGGGCGAGGCGCTGGCTTAATAGGCGGGCTTGGAGGGGCGCGGTCGGCGTGGCGTGCCGCGCTGGCCATGTGCGCTCTCAATCGAGAATTACCGTGAGGAGGGAAAAGAGACGGAGGTGGAAGAAGTGAAACAGTAAGAGGCTTTGGGTGGATGACAGTGGGGCCGCGGCGGGTGCAACGTGGGAAAGATTTACCAGAGAGAGAGAGATGGGTGTCCAGGTGGGCTTGGCTCCGGCTCGGCTGGCGGTGCCACTGGGGGGAGGGTTTTGTTGTGGGCTGCGCTGCACTCTCTCCCCCTCTGTTTTCTTCTTCTCTGATTTAATAAAACCGTGAATTTGAAGAAATGACCAGAGAGATAGGAGTTTAATTAGGAAGGGAAAAACATATTCCTGGAGAACTAGTAATATGCACAAATTAAATAAAATGCTCTGGCAATTTTTAGAGACTGCAAATTCAAACAAGTTTGAAAATAATTCAAGCTTGAATAAATCCTTAGCCCAACCAAAACACTTCCAAAAGACTTGAAAACTGGAGGAGGTGGTCTTGGCATGGCGTAGGGAACATAGAAATATAGTGAACATTAATCTGGAGCAGAAAATGACACTAGAGAAATAATTGAAAGAAAGGGAAAGGGAGATGTTTGGACGGGATAGAAACTTGGGTGAACTTGATGAACGGTTGCTGGTGTGCGCATGGTGCAAAAACGAGAGGTGGAGATAAGAAGAAGAGGGGTTCACCCAAGATCACACAACAAAACATGAATATGCAAGCCAAGGCATGATGATCATGATACAATGCAATAAAATGACAAGAGGCACATGAAAACATGAAGCATATAACAAGGTGAGATGAACATGGCAAACGAACAAAGGTATGACAAAGCACTCAACATGAGCATGGCATAAACATATAGAATGAAATATGCAAAAATAATTATGATAATGCAACAAACATAATAAACACATGTCAACAACTAAAATAAAGGAAGGCATCTGGAGCATCGGACTCGGGGCGTTACATGTAGATCGGGGCCTTCTCACCCAATCCCGAGCAAATCAACAAGTTTGATTAGCTAGGGAGAGAGATCGGGCGAAAATGGAGCTTGGAGCAACAATGGAGATTAGGGTTGGAATAGGTGAGTCTTCTTGAAGAAGAAGACCCCCTTATATAGTGGGGGGACAATTCCAACTGTTATCCACCACTCAGCCCGCGACCTGCGGAACTACCGCACCGCAGGAGCGGTACTACCGCACGGGTCTGCGGTACTACCGCGTCGGACCTGAACAAAAAAGCACGGATAGGGCACGGTAGAACCGCATGCGCGGTACTACCGCGGCCCCATGCGGTACTACCGCAGGTCAGCCACAGGCCAGGCACGGTAGGCACAGATGTAAAAAATTACATCTATGACTACCTCCGCTGAGAATATGTCGAGCGAAAATCCGACACGAAGGGTGCGGATGTAAAAAATTACATCCGCCCCTACCTCCGCTCCTGCTGCTGTACCTGGCCAGGCGCCGCGGCACTACCGCGTAGGGCGCGGATGTAAAAAATTACATCCGCGCCTACTACCGCTTGAGCAGCGGCGCCAGTCCAGAACTCACGGTACTACCGCTGAGAATGAGCAGTACTACCATGGGGGCCCATGGTACTACCATGCCGGAGCCCGGTACTACTGCTGGCTCCTGCGGTAGTACCGCTCTGAGGAGCAGTACTACCGCTAGCCTGAGAAGAGCAACACGGAGTCATTCATTTCACAGAGACAAGGTGAGACGGAGGAACACTCCAAAGAGCCAGAGGAAAGGCGGTACAAAAGGGGATGTGTACGTGAGATTCCACCCAAACCTTTTCAAAGCGGACCACCTCTTAATAGTACGGCTTTCCTACGACTCAACTCCACCAAAACAAACCGTAGAGAAATGCCGTCTTCAATAATCTTCGAGGGGCATCAAATCGTCTTGTGTTTAGTCGTGATATATCTGAAAAGCTCAATACACACGATCAGTCCGCAAAGACATTGTCATCAATCACCAAAACTACTGAGGGACAAAAATGCCCTTACACCCACCACCCAAGAAAGGTTGTCCTTAACTAGTGATTTCGCAACTCACGTGTTGCTTTATTGGGCCCCCCTACATCTCACTCAGCGAGATGCATGGTAGACTCGCATCATGGGGCACCAGATGGCTCGGCCCAAGCACACAGGAGGCCACGACCTCGTTTCTTTCATGCCTTTTATTTTATTATTTTTTCCTTTTCAAATTTTGTTTACACTTCCAAATATTATAAATAAATATATTACAAAAACCACTTTACACTTGAAAAAATGTTAACCAAGCATTTCAAAATGTCAAATGTGTATAGAGAAAAATATTTCTCATGTAACAATGTGTGTGCAAAAAGTTGATCATCTATTTAAAAAATGTTAATCAAGCGATTTAATAAAAAAGGAGCTAAACAATTAGTTGGCAAATTTTAATCAAGCATTTAAAAAATGCTAAATTTATATAGAAAAATGTTGAGCATATATTCAAAAAATATTAATCTTTTATTGTATTCAAACAATCTTAAACTTGTATTTGAAAAATATTAATCAAGCATTTAAAAATATTAAATGTATATATAAAAAGTGTTGATCAAGCATTCAAGAAATATCAAGCATTTATTGTACTAAAAATGTTAGACTTGTATTTGAAAAATATTAAACGTATAGAAGACATTGACCATATATTAAAAAATGTTAATCTTGCATTTGAAATAAGAATGTTAATTAAGCATTTGAAATATGTTAAATGTGTATATTAAAAATGTTAACCATGTATTAAACAAATTTTAATCTTGTATATGAAAATTTCCAATCAAGCATTTGAAAATGTGTATAGAGAAAACGTTCACCATGGATGAAAAAAATATTAATCTTGTACTTGAAATATGTAAAACTATGTATAGAATAAATGTTGATCATGTATTTAAAAAAGTTACACGCGTATTAGAAAATTTTTCTTGACATATAGAGAAAAGTTAGAATGATGGCCAAAAGAAAATAAGACATTTTCTTAAGATAAAATCATAAAATCAAGTAATTAATATGAAGAAAATTGAGAAAAACAAAAGAATACCGAAGCATAACAAAGAAAGAAAGAAAAATGAGTGAAGCAACAAAAGGAAAGCCAATGATTAAAAGAAAATAAAAGAAGAAAACCCCTGCAATTAAAGAAAAGGAAACAAAATAAAATAAAAAAACAAAAGATAACAGAGAAAAAACTAAAAAACAAAGAAAAAGAAAGAAAAGAAAAACTGATAAAATCCGGTAATAAAACAAAGAAAAACGAAAAAACAAAGGAAAACAAAAAACCCCAAAGAACCCATGAAGAAACAAAAAAATAAAAAATAAAAAGGCAAAGAAGAATGTAATGTACGTTGTTATCATCGAATGAGGCGGCCCAATACTCTACACAGTAGAAGGTCAGAATCATATCACAACTAGGCCAATAAATAGACCAGACGACAAAGGCGAGAGCAATTAATTGAGGACTACTCCTTCGGGAACCCTGCAAGGGTCACCTGGGATGGGTTAGGATCACCCCACTTGGTGCGCTCTCAGCCGCCGCCACGTGTCTCGCACGGGGCACTCCCTTCGATTTTTTTTCTAAACTCGTTTTCGGCTTTTAGATGATTTTTTTTAGTTTTCTGTTTTCCACCTATTTTTCTTAGGATTTGGACCCAAAAAATTGCATGAAAGTACACGTTTTTTCTTTTCTTTTTCGTTCCGCGGGAGGCATAGTTGTGCCTCTCGGGAAGGGAAAAACATTTTTTTTTGTTTTGTGAGAGGTACGGATTTACTTCTCGTGGAGGCATGGATTTGCTCCACGAGACGCATTGTCATACCTCTCAGAAAGGAAAAAAACATGTTTTTTTCGTTTCATGAGAGGCACGAATTTACTTTTTGTGGAGGCATGGATTTGCTTCCTCGAGAGGCATGGCCGTGGCTCTCGAAAAAGGAAAACCATACGAGAGAAACAGATTTGCTTCCGCTAGAGACACGGTCGTGCCTCTCCGAAAGGAAAAAAACACGAATTTTTTTTGGGTCCGCGAGCGGAACAAATTTACTTCTCGTCGAGGCATGGATTTGCTTCCGCGAGAGGCACGGTTTCGGAAAAGGGAAAAATGCGAGTTTTTCGTTCCGTGAGAGGAACTGATTTACTTCTCGTGGATGCACAGATTTGCTTCCGCGAGAGGCACGGTCGTGCCCCTCGAAAAGAAAAAAATCATGTTTTTTTTGTTCCATGAGAGGCAGGGATTTACTTCTCATGGAGGCACGAATTTAATTCCATGAGAGGCCCGGCCGTGTCTCTCGGAAAGGGAAAAAGTGCTTTCAGTTTGGTTTTTTCTGTCTGGTCTTTTTCGTAAGAAAAAGTTCGTCGAAACCTATCAACATGGGATCTAGTTTTAAAGATCTCGAGACGAGGGACCCAAGGCTGAAAACGGTTCGAGATTTGAACGCACGATTTAAAATATAAAACATTTTATAAATAAACAAATCTACGAAATGGAAAAAAACTCTCAGGTTGCGACAAATGGGCACATGTAACTCTTTGAATACTTTCGGCCAGGATCGTATCACTAGTTAGGCCCATAAATAGCCCACGACGCGACAAAGGCCGTCCGTTCGGCAGTCACTCAGCCCAGATGCAGGCGAACGCGGGGGCCCGTCCACAACCACCGAGTCCAGAGCGTGTCGGCTCCTCTCCGCAACGCAAGCCGCGGGATCGGCCTCCGCCTCCCCATGGCCTTCCATTCCTCGGTCGCTCCCATCCCCTTGGCCCCACCTCCCGGACCCGGAGCCTTCCACCGAGCCCACCGCCCCGCCGGAGCTCCCCGAGCCGGCGCGCCCGGGAGGAGTCTCGCCGCCCACTCGTCTCCCTCTCCCGACGTCGTGGTCACGCGCGAGCAAGGCAAGAACGCCAAGCTCGTCGCCTCTCTAGTAAGTTCAAATCCCTGTGGGGATACCCCTCCTCGTCTACTCTGTGATACCCTGAGCCGATGTTGGTGAATTTTAGAGGGGACGGTTTTACATGGTCGCTGTAGAGAGGCGATTTTCCGAGCTGATTTTACATCTCTAAACTGGGGGCTAACGAATTCGGTCAGACCTTGGGGAATTATCACATCAATTTTGTAACTGGATTGTGCAGGAGAAGCATAATGTGCACTCTCTGGAGCTTCCTCTTATTCAGCACGTCGAAGGGCCTGATGCAGATAGGCTTTCAGCTGTCTTGCGGGGTATGTGGTTCAGTCTATCTTTCGCAGCAGCATAGCGCCTCATTGTTACTTTCCTGCTATGCACATCCATTTGCTCCAACGTATGCTATATTTACACTGCTTTGCAAAACTTGCAACCACAGGGTTTAGTCACTTTAGTACTGTGTATTTACAGATGAAAAGTTTGACTGGATTACTGTAACATCTCCTGAGGCAGCTGCAGTGTTCCTTGAGGGATGGAAGTAAGATTCAAACATATTGCAGTTATTGTGCGCAGTATTGCTACACAAATAGAACATATGTCATTTCGCGATTCATTCCACATAAGTCGTGGGCTTGTGGCAACGCAGGTCTGTGTGCTTTCTGTGAAATAAAGCAGATTATGCGCTTTACATGTCCAAACTTTTTTTTCTTTCTGAACTTCATTTCTGTAATCAAACCATCGCTACATGAAACCAGAACAAATCAAACGTAATCTACGACCACCATATTTGACATCACACAATAACTCAATACCAGGGCTGCTGGAAGTCCTAAGGTCCGAATAGCAGTTGTTGGAGCAGGTACTGCAAGAACTTTTGATGAAGTATTGCAATCCAGTGATGGATCCCTTGAGGTTGCATTTTCTCCTTCCAAAGGTATCTTGCCCGAAATTTATACAACTAGGATGTTATGTCCATGCACTTTAAAGAATGCATGCATCTTGAAGTATTTTTAATTCTATAAGGTACTTATTACATTTATTTCTTCATCAGCTTTGGGCAAAGTTTTGGCCTCAGAGCTTCCAAGGACTAGTGAGACTGCCTCTAAAGTGTTGTATCCTGCATCCGCAAAGGCTGGCCATGAAATTCGTGAGTCATTTTTGTGTTCATGCTGTTAGCATTATATGCGTGCTATTTATTTCACCCCCATCCTTTAAGCCACACGATTTCTGCCTTTCTGTTTTCCAGAGAGAGTTATGAGTTATTCAGGGCTTTGCAAATTGATCCATATCATAAATCAGCAATTACTTTGTATTTTCAATCTTGTAGTTAATTTTATTATCATTTAAATTTTGTACTCCATCTCCATCCATCCAAATATACAGGGTCTAATATGTTTTCAAGGTGGACTTCAACCATTAATAAAATTATTAATATACTGAGATGTATGATATAAAAATAATATCATTAGAAACTCCTTTCACATACGAAATTGAGGTTATGCTTTGAGTAACCTTTAGGCACTATATATTAATATACTTTGATCAACAAAGCACGGTTGTATAAATTTTGACTCTTATAATTCCTTATCTTGTGGTCTCTGTCTTCTGCAGTACCTGCATGAAATATTCAGTCTTTCTGTTACTTAGTTTTGCCCTGGGATGCAGAGAATGGGCTGTCAGCTCGAGGATTTGAGGTGACAAGACTGAACACATATTCAACCGTAAGATTTTCACTTATATTGGTATTTGGTTCCCGCATCGTTTCTCAATTTGTATATAGAACATGTATTCTGCATTTTTGTTGAGCTATTTTCCATTGATCTATGGTAACTATCTTGTTTAGCTTGATCTTTCTTAAATCTGTGAGTACTAAGTTTATTTGATATTAAGCTTCATATTCCTGGCAAAACAGAAAATATTAAGTTGACATATTATATCTCCGGCAGCCTGTTTTCCTTACCTGACAGTGGCATATAATTAATTTTACATATGTTCCACACTTATTTGCGCATGGACTTGTACTCCTGGTAATTAATGAAGCGGCTGTGTTTGCAAGCAGGTACCTGTACAAGATGTAGACCCACAGATTTTAAAGCTTGCTCTTTCAGCACCAGTTGTTGCAGTAGCTTCTCCATCTGCACTCCGGTAACTATGTTAACTGTATTTGGCTATTCTTTTCATATCTTTTGCTTACATAATTGTGCAGTACTACATGTTAAGATGGTGAGCCGAAACATATGTGCAACAGATTGTGAGATATTAAGATGTAAACATGAACCCCTGTTTGGAGGAGGTTTACTGATAGTCTGATACACAAGCGCGTGACTGTTTTTTCCCCATAGCATGCAGAACTTGTAGCAGGATATTATAGTCCATCTCGGCTTTGTTGATCACTGTAACTAGTTTCATTTCGCACAAAGCTGTGCTTTACGTTCTCCATTTTGTTTTGTGGTTTCGTGATGTTGCAGAGCTTGGCTAAACCTCATGTCACGGGTCGACAACTGGAGCAACTCGGTCGCCTGCATAGGCGAGACGACGGCTTCAGCGGCCAAGAAACTCGGCCTGGAGAGCGTATACTATCCTGCAACCCCTGGACTCGAAGGGTACGAACACAAACACACACGTGCGCACATCATAATCCCTTTTTCCGAACAACGTTATCACATTGTCATGGACAAGTCGCTGTTCGTTGGACATTCAGAGCCATACATTCAGAAAAACACACTATGACTTACGTAGCCCTTGACTGACTATATCGTTTTCCATGTTGCTTTGGGCAGGTGGGTTGAAAGCATCCTGGAAGCGCTCAGAGCCCATAAGCAATCGTCCAAGTGAGGCGTCGGCAGCTCTCTTGAGTTTTCTTTCGCGGTTCCTGTCGTAACCTTCTCTGTTTCTCACTAGGCCCCAAAGTGTCGGAGACGAGCACGGTTGATTGACCGGCCGCTGTAGCCTGTACTACTGTAGTAGGTGCATTTTTTAAGGAACATGTGTTTTGTACTTTTGTTTCCTGCTAATCACACACACGCTATGCGTGCTTTTGCACCGTGCGTGAAGGGAGCCGGGGCATCATCGGCATGTAAATCTGTTGAGGCGTGCGGTACGGGCACGGCATATGCACAAGTGTTCCCTGATTCACTGCAACTTCTCTTCTTTTTTTTAGAAAAAACTTTTCCTTTTGGCCAAGACAGTAACAGATGTAGATGTTTTCTGGCCCAATGACCGGATACGAAAATTTGTTTGAGCCCAGGAAGGGGAAAATAAATGGTAATCTGCAGCGCCGTGATTGGCAGGGGGTCTGACTGAGGATAAGTTACGTTGCTTATCTGAAACCCGCAGAGTCTCCGCCGTCTGCACTCCACCACCAAAAGACTCCAAAATGTTTTGAGCTTCTCTCAGCCGGTGACAAGTTCGTCGCAGTCCTTTTGGCTCCTTGTGATGAATTATTGGTATGTACGTAGCCGTCGGCGTCGTGAGCTAATTCAATTCAAAGCTTGGATGCAGTCACCTTGGATGCATGGATCCACATCAACTGAGCAGCAGAGAAGGACGACGAGGACAAGTGATCTTTGCTCTGATTAAGCTGCGACCACGCCATGCAGCAGCCCCAAGTAATAAACCACCTGGATGGGAACACGTCCATGTCCACAACGCAAGCAGAGCCGAGCACCAGATTATATTATATATATTTATTAACAAAAGAAAAGAAAGCCAAGCACACGTCGACATCCCCGCTGCAGCCTGCCTGCAGGTCTAACCCTACCCCTGGCTAGCTGATTAATTAAGCAGAGGCAGGCGTGTTCAAAAGCGGCTACCATGGCGACGGGCGAGGCGAACCCGGCGCGGCCGACAGCGACGGCGACGGCGACGGCCACTCGCTCGCTCGCTCGCCGGCATCTTCGCAGACGGCTAGACGTGGCTCTGCATCAGCGTGTCGCCGGAAAGCGGCTGCCGCTTCTTTGCGAATATGCGCATGGAAACCGACGGCGAATTTCCGGCTGGAAAAATATTCGACTTTGCATCACGTCGCGTCGTCGCCGAAGGTGGCGGCCAAATCGCAAAAGGCCATGGACCAACCAGAAAAGGGACTTGTTTATTAGTGCTAGACCCGAATATCGTACCACCACGCACCAGATAATCACCAACCTTTTCATTTTATCGGCACGCACGCACGCACGAAGGAAAAAAAGTAGGGGTGCTGGTGTACCATCGACGGCTACGTGTCGCTGTAAGCGAGTGGAGACGTTGATTGTTGAGTGCCGGGCCAAAACAACACCACACAGTACCGTGCTGTTTTGATCATGTGAAATGTGGTGGGGTGACCTGGGAATGGCGAGCAGAGTATGTGGTTTTCTCCACTCATCAACTGTCACTATCCGCGTAGTTTATAACTAGTCGGGGAGATTAACCAGCCACAGGCACCGTGCCTACGTGCGGTTTTCTTTCGAGGAAGGTTTTGGTTTATGAGCCAAAGTTGGTGTACAAAGGCAGGCAGGCAGCGACCGATGCTGCGTGATGAAAGCAAGGAGTAGGAGTAGGAGTAATCGTATGAAACAAAAGGCAACCAAGTGCGTAGAGAAAGGCACCACTCCCCTTGCACTTGTTGCAGTACAGGTATAAACAGGTATACTGCTGTTGCTGCTGCTAGTACAGTACTGCGCCTAGTACGGCACACCCGAGTCCAAGGTGATTTGCGACTGAAAAGGTCCATTCAAGGTGCCGTGTCGTGTCGTGGCGCCGGACTCGGACAAGGACCGCACAGCCGAGCCGTAGGAGGAGGAAGCGAGACGCCGGTACGATCACTCGCCGCAGGCTAGCTAGACCCGTCGTGCTATGGCTGTACTACGCCGGTGCCTGCGCTGGTGTAGCCCGGCCGGAAGCGGAAGGTCTGGTCAGTCCGGTCCAGAGCGCGGCGCGTCCCGGGCCACATCACCTCGCGGTGCAAACACGGGCCGGAGGACGGTGATGGGAGTGATGGCCGATTCTGTAGGCTGACACCGGCACGGCGAGTTCCGCACGGCCGGACGCGGAGTGCATGTGCTTGTGTCTGTCTGCACGGAATGGCGCGTCTCTCTTGCGCTATTTTGGCAGGTGGTAGCTCTGATTTTTAGCCGTGCCCCCGATTCGGCCACCGATCGATCGGAGTGCATGTGCTTGTGTCTGTCTGCACGGAATGGCGCGTCTCTCTTGCGCTATTTTGGCAGGTGGTAGCTCTGATTTTTAGCCGTGCCCCCGATTCGGCCACCGATCGATCAAACGAAAAGATGGCGGGTGCTTCCCCAACCAACCGCTACCACCACCGTTCAATTCCATCACAGAGGAGGAAAGATAAGACTGTGGATGGGATATGCAGCCTTGTCTGTTATACCTAAGACGGTGAGTGTCTGCATAAGCAAACGATTCTGTCGGCAATGCACGTGGCATGTGGCCTGTTTAGCCTTTCGGAAGAAGAAGAAATGTGGCTTGTTTAGCTGTTTCTTTTTTTGTATCTACAGTGTATTCCATCATTGGCATCGGTGTAACTACTAGTCTACGTACTACAGTAGTACATCTACTAGTACCGCCTACTGGACGTGATAGAAATTGAAGACACTAGTCACTTTGCGTCGGAGACGGTCGTCCGTACTACAATTTTTTTTGGAGAGAGAGAGAGCAGGTCGTTGTACAAGTGCTTCAGTGGTTTTTTAAGGGTACAACTGCTTCAGTGGTTTGCCCTTTCCTCCTGGAAAACGACGATTGGAATTGCATCGGGCTCCAGGGCCCAACGACCGAGCGCTCTCGGCCACACGGCCCAGGGCGGAAAGCGACGCCGCACCGCCACCCACGACAAAGCGCGACCGGCGTGGCCCCACCGTCAGATTCGGCGGGCCCCGGCTCCTCGCAGGCCCACCAAATATAGCGCAGCGGTCTCCACGGGATTCCCCAAGCCACTGCCACCCATGCGGCGCCCACGCCCCGAGACCACAGCCGGCGCGCCACGTCGGCGGGCGAGCACGGGCCCCGGTGCGGGATCCGGGACGACGGCGACGGCGGGATTCCCGGCCGTTGGATCTGCCGTTCCGCGGCCGCGTGTCGACCGGGGAGCGGAGGCCCGGGCTGCTTGCGGCGGAGAGAGGTTCGTTCTCGTTGGGGTGTCAAGTGGTCAAGTGGAGTAGCCATCGTAGCTAGCAGGAGGAGTAGTACTACTACGGTTTGCCCCGATGAATTCTTTTGCTGTTTTGGCCACGATTTGGCACGTCGGAAAACGAGACGCCATCATGCGGCATTTGGAGATTGGAATTCGGTGCTCCCCTTCCGATGCTGACCATGATGATGATTGGGGCGCCGGAGAAGGGGGTTATGCAGCGGTGCTCGAGGTTCGCTTTGATTTAAACAGAGGATATGAGTTTTTTTTTTGAAGATGAGTATTTTTGCATTTGAATACACCAACAGAGGAATGGGTGGTTCAGGAGTATATATTGTGTCGTTGGATGCTAAGCTTGGAACCCATTGATTAAGTGCAAGTTGGGACATCGCAAATAAATAAAAAAGTGCAAGTTTTCTTAATACCACGCAAACACAGATGTTTTATTTGCGGGTCGCAGAGGTTCACATACACGGACTCATCTCTATGAATGCACTCCCTGTTCCCGAAAATTCTCAAGAGCACGTAGGTGCAGGGCACTCAGCTACCAAGCCCTGCCGTCAGCTTGATTTACCTCACGATTCGTGATGTAGTTGAATCCGGCACGAGAGCACGGTAAAAAAGAAAATCTCTCAAAAAAACTTTAAGTTTTAACGATGAAACTTACCGTTTTTGCATCTAAAAATGCAAGTTTCAACAACTTCCAGAGATATAATTTTAAACAATTTTTTTGTCGGTCATAGACACAGAATAATTGATTTTTATCGGTCACTCGTACTAAGTTTCAACTTTGAACTTAACATATTTCTTTAAAGGACATCAAAATATATTCAAAATGGATCTTATTTCAAAGCGCTGGTCACGAGAAACATGAATAAGAAAACAAAACTTAATTTGGATTTTTTGTTTAGAAAATAGAACTTTGAAAATCGGAAGCCAAAAAAACCCGGCACCAGGGACCTGAGTGCCCTCGCACTTGCGTGTTGCAAATCCTCGTCCACCCTACTCCAGATTACCTTTGAAATATTAACCCGACACAACATTTTGAGATTGATTAAGTCGTCACATGTGTGTATTTTATTCCTACTTTTCAAGATCATGTGAATCAAGAGGCCCTGAAAGGTTGATTCAAGTGGAGTGTTTGGTTAGGAATTACTCCCTCAGTTCCTAAATATTTGTCTTTCTAGAGATTTCAACAAGTGACTAGATACGAAGTAAAATGAGTGAATCTACACTCTAAATATGTCTATATACATATGTATGTGGTAGTCCATTTGAAAACTCTAAAAAGACAAATATTTAGGAACCGAGGGAGTAGAACATAAACTAAAGTCGGGAACCCATAGAAAATATATACGTAGACCAGCAATGCTAATGCATGGATGTAAGCATTTTTCTTGCTTCTTAATTTTACAAGTGAAACGGCATTAATATTCTTGATATAGCGAATGTGTTGATATCGCCTTAAATAGTGGGCGGCCGACGAGAATGGATTTTTGGAATCTGGGTGTATTGGAGGATCTCATTTTAAATACTTTAAAAAATCACATTTAAATTTTCAAAAAAATCCGAAAAGAATTCTACATGATCATATGGATATATATATATATATATATGTGTGTGTAAAGTTTGGTGATGAAATAAGTAAAGATGCGAGCCATACAAAAATGACAAAATGGTGATTTCCAAATAGTGAATAATACATGCACTATTCATCTTTCCAAATAGTGTTACTTATTTCAGCATCAAAATTTGCACATCTGTATTATACATCCATATAAACATGTTAATTTAATTTCATAATTTTTTGA